ATATATTTATTTATTTATTTATTATGTATACTATATATATAGTATCAATATAATAAGAATAATATCAGTTATTTAATTATTTACACTAATTTATAATTATGAAATACTGAAAAAATAATGAAAATTTATTATATTTTTAGGAAAATTGAAATAAGACAAATTAATTCAAAATTAGCAGATATTTCCAATAAGATAACGTCAATAGACAGACTGACAAGTAAAATTGATTTCATAAGGTTGTCTTTAGACTTGGTTAATAGCAAACTCGATAACAGTAAAAGAAGAATAGAAGAGACCGAAAATAATGTAAAACGAATTTCTGAAATTTGTTTTGGAAATGAAGTAAGTTTAGCAACATTCAATTAATACTTATATGATTAATAAATAAAAATTTTAAGAGTTAATTCAACATCATTACTACATAATGATGTTGAATTAACTCTTAATTGATTCTAGGAATTTCGCCTTTTGTAACTGTAGATAGCGGTCGATTAACAACATTTTAGTAATATTTCTCTCATTAAAATCATTATGTTAACTGTTAATACTATTTTTCTTCAGAAAATGATCGGTTGAGATTCATTAAAGATAAAAATCTGCACAATGGGCAATGGGTGTCGATACTCGACGCACTGTTCGATGATATTTCGAAGGGAGAAGATCTGCTCGCTGCACGATCTTCCGCACCGAAACCCGACTTGCTTCTCCCGCAAGCGTTGATGGAGGGCAATTCGCAGGCGTCGAAGGAGGACAACACAAAATTTCTTTCCAGACACAGAAAGGAGATTGATATCTCGCCAGTTAGTACATTCAGACATATGTCCTCTCTTAGGAATTCTGACTATAGCGCCCCTTCAACTCTCTCGGACCTCCCCACATTGCCAGCACCTGTTAAACAATAATGTTAGCTTTTCCAACATGGGCTGCCCTCCACGCTTCAAAATCTCAGCCGTAATTTCGTCAAACCGGTTGCCTACCATTCTTTAGGCTCTTAATCGCAAGCTCCACTTCCCAAAGAGTAATATCACCAGTGTCCACCCGAAGCTCATCCTGTGTATCCTCAATATCGAAATCGTATATGATGGTCTGTTCCGCTCGATTAAATGTTTCCTGAAAATGTTCCATCTATCTCTTGTTCTGTTCATCTTGATCGATCAGAAGCTCCCCTTTTTGTCTTTTATTGGAACGCTGGAGTTACTCCTCATCCCGGTCACTTCATTGACTATGCGATATAAGGTCTTGGAGTCATTCCGGTCGGAAGCCTCCTGAGCTTCAGCGCCCTTTCGTTCTAACCATTCCTTCTTGTCTTACCGACAGCTTTTCTTTACATGTCTATCCAACTCGGTGTATCTTTGGCTCAGTTCTATTCTATTCAAATTTGAATAGAATAGACGGTTTAAAATGTTAGGCTTCATTAGCTATTAACTGTTTGAGCCCGGATGCAAAAGGAGGAGGGTTGGGCGTTGGATTAGCAAACCGTCCCTGTAAAAATTATGAGTGCTACAGAAAACAGCAATAAAAAATTTTGGTAGGTCCGGATATATCAGACATCTCTCAATAAGTGACGGGCACGACTATATTGTTAGAGGCAAAGTATGATGTTCAGGGGCAAGCCACTATCAATTTGAAGTGGAGAGCGTATATTACAAATTAATTAAATATGATAAAAAATTGCAGCCCGGCATTGCGACGATGTCACAATAAATAATTGCTCGTTTTTACTTTTAATTCTTCCTGACCTGTATGTAGTAAGAGGGTCTTTTTAGCAAGCCTACTATTGATTCGACCAGTTCGATTGCAATATTACTGGTCAATTTCTTAATTTAGGCAGAGATTTAAACAATAGGCCTACTAATTCTGAAAAATGTTCAAATCAATCACTTCGTAAAACGATGGCTTAATCAGTTATATATTCCTTTTTAAATATATTGAACTTACTTATTTTCATTATGATTGTAGAAAGAAATCCAGAACGAGAGATCATCAAGTCAAAAATTGATAGAAAGTAATTTATCCAATAAAATAGATCATTACGGAAACAAAATGCTAAAAGAACAACAAAATATGAAAAATTCGAGCGGTCATCAAACGCTATTATTATACGAGATTCAAAACATTACCGTTTCGGGATTAAATAAGATGCTTACGAAATTGGAAACTCTTCTTGTATCGTTCAATCAACAAATCCATCTTTTCACGGGAATATCATCAAAAGCAAAAGATTTATTAACAAGATCGATCGAACACGAATCGCAATTAATTGATCTGGAAGAAAAGCTTACGGAGAATGAAAATTGGTTTAAAAAATCAGATGAAAATTTAAAGACTCGTTTCCTTCAGTTATGGTCGAATATCTCTCTTGTTTTAAACGAGAAGAAAGGAGATTTATCTCAGAGAGCACTTTTTCGTTTAACCAGAACCATTAATCAAACCGAAGAAATTATTAACCTGATCACCGAAATGGGAGGATTACTAGAACCAAAAGTTATCCACGTTACGCGTTTATCTGAGATGATCAGCAAAAATTTAAAAGATAAAACTTCCGAAGATATTTCGTCCATCGCTAACAATTTAACTACGTCGTTACAGGCATTAAGAGATACCGCTCCGTCCATGATGTTAGCACTGTCTGTAAATGCGAATTCTCTTCTGAAAAATTTAATAAATTTGAAAAACTTGGATGGTAATAAATCTCGATGCGAAACGGATGCTATAGAAGAGATACGCAAACATCACGCAGAAATGTCAAAATTCATAAGCGATACAAAAGAAAATATAGAAACACGAGACGAAAACGCCGAAAAAATATGGGACGAAGTAATGAAAAAATTGCAGAATATTCCTCAAAAAATTTCGGAAGTCGACGACGGAAATGCTCTGCAAAAATTGCAAGAGATTAGCAGAGAAATTAAAGAGTGTAGAGCTATCTTGAATAAATTCAGTTTTGATACCACATTTGGGTAGTATTTTCGGTTTTTTACGACTAGAAGAAAACTTCGCCGTCATTTAAAGACATCGAACTGTTCTGATCCCACAAAATTCCTCCGATTGCAAAACGGATTGCATTAATTCTATAATAAAAATATCACAAATCAGAAGAAGTCTCAGAATTTCTAACTTCGAGAACTGGTGCCTAATATCCATTCCAAAATTTGAAGTGTTACTTTGCAAACAATAAGTTATTATTAATTATCTCAAACAAGTTTTGAAACGTAATGAAAATCTTATTTTAAAAACGTTTTAAGTACTGTATTATTTTAATGTGAGAATATAAAATATTATCTTAAAAGTTAGTCTAAAAGATGGTCTGCTTTTCTTAATTTAGAAAACTAGCTAATGTATATAATAATTCATAAAATAAATGTATGAAAATTGCATGTTCTGTTTGAATAAGCTTACATCAATATATTGTAACTTGTCGATTTTTCATTTAATTAAATTTTTTACAATTTTGTTATTTTCAAATAATGTAACAATATTCAATTTTAATAAATGAAATATTTTGCTTACGTCTTTTGTTTCGATATAAATATAATTTACAATTAAAAAAACTACGCACGAAACATAACAATGTAAAATATAATTAATAAAATATACCATTTACACGCAATTAAATATTATAAACAAATACGAGTTGTATACGCGGACAGAATACGTAATAAATATTTAAAAAAATAAAATGTCTAATGCTCGTCTTTATCTATTTCACATAAATTTTAAAATCACTGAAAAATATATTTTTCTATAAAAATATTTCTAAAATTACCCTTAATATAATATTGTTTTTCTATAGATTTCCCCTTTTCTACTAACTTTTTTACCAGTCTGAATCGTCATTTCCTGGAACTTTATCGGCACTTCCTGCTGAAATATTTAAATCGCTATTATCGCTGGGAAAATCCGTATCTCCCGATCTTTTACTAGAACCATTCTGGTCTATATCAATATTTTCAGACATTTCTACCTTACTCGCTGGTTCCGCGATTTCAAACGTCATTCCTTTCACCTCTTTTTCTTCGGATTTCAATTCCGAAGGCAATTCGGCTTCTTTACTATCGGATATTTTATTTAACTCCGAATCTGCATTTAAAGACTTAATAGAATCGATGTTTTCGATAGTGTGCTGGGGAGAGCTGCCTTTGCTAAATTGGTTATCATCATTTTCAATTTTATGAATAGGACTTACATCAGAATTTTCTTTTTTGTCATTCTGAGATACATTAGACCCTAAAGATATTTCCTTAACCGCTTCTTCGGTTTCTTTCGTTTCCTTCCATTTAGCATCGAGATCGATAATGTAAGAAGAAAATTGGTATGTTTTCTCTGGACTTACATCGTGAATTTTTTCTGATACTTCTGCTTGCTTTATATCAGTTCTGTTTGACTCCTGCTGTGAAAAATTTTCTTGGACTGACTTTTCATTTGATTTTTTCAAACTTAAAACTACTTCCGATGAACTTTCGTTTCTTTTTGATATTTCAGTCATTTCTTTTTGTTTCTCAGTACTTTCTACATCGATTGCATCTTTGATTGACTCTTCAGTTTCGATTGGCGATTCTTGTTTCTCGACAAAATTTGATTTTGTTTCGATTTTTGTTGAAGTGTCTTCATTTTCGACTTTTTTCATTTTATTTAAAACTTTGTCACTTACTTTCTTAGTAAGTACGTGAATACTCTCATCTATTCGATTGTCTCTATCCTTTTCTTCTATAAATTTTAATTTATCCTCTGAACTTTGTAACTGTGACGAATTAGCATTCAAAGTAAAAGATTTAAAATTTTTCTGCATTAAATCAATTTTTGTAGCTGTTGAAGTTTTTGGAATAATTATAGGAGAACTAGCATATATTGATGACAACTGAATATTTTCGGTTAAATGTCTCGTTTTATACTCATTCTTATAACTTCTTAAGTGTGAATAGGAATTAAACTTACGAATATTTGGAAAAGATGAATATTCCGTATCAAACAGAGAATTGAGAGACGATGGCATGGTCAAGTATAAATTTGCATTTGCCTGTAAATGTTCTCCGTATTTCTTTTCTAATGCTTCTGCTTCGTTTTGAAGATGATCGATTCGTTTTCTCGCTTCTGAGATAAATTTAAATGATTTTTCTTTATCAAAGTTGTGACTTTTATATAAACGATACGGATTCGAATGCTGCAATTTAAATGTATGATGATAGTCACCTTGAACCGATGAAGGTAATGCCTGATCTGTATCATCGGATTTTTTCCAAGATGGTATCGTAAATACATTTGATGGTTTCGAAAGTGCATAAGTCGCATTGGATTGTGTCTGAGTAGATGGTATACTGTCGGCAGTCCTTACATTTTGCATTAGTTTTACTTGTAAGTTTTGTACTGAATTTTTGAGATCTTGAATCTCCTCCTGTTGTTCATCATTCCTAAAAAATATTAATAACTTTATTAATTGAATTTATACATTAACTACAATTAATCTATATTTATAATTTGCTGAACATTATTATAACAAATTCAGCGAGTTCTCTTTTTTTATGTAGTTTTTTGTGATTTTAAAGTTATACACATTTTGACGTTGATATTTTATTTATGAAAAAAATTTGAAATTACTTAATCTAATGACAACTTCAAAAATATATAAAATAAAATATCTCAGAAATGCAAAAAGTGTGGAAGAAACTGTCTCTCAGTTCTGCAATAAATACAGAAGCTTTATAATCATTAACACAATTACACAGCTATTATGTATGGTATCAAACGACTTGAACATTGGCCTGAGCAATGAAAAGAAAATTTGAATGAATGTTGTAGTAGTAAGAAGAAGAAAAAACCAGCATCAACTTCATCAGTAATCAATTTCTGTAAAGTCACTGACTTAAATATAAAAGACTAAAAAAACTTTCATCATTATGAATGCTTATTTTCTTTGAAGATTACTTTAAAGAAATATGGAAAAAAAACGTCATCTATATTAATATAATAAAGAGGTAATGTTTGTATGTTAGTTTGTATGCAGCAGGTAATCTCCAAAACTACTCATCCGATTTCAAAAATTCTTTCACCAATATTTAGAATGGAACCTCAGGGTGGACATAGGCTGTCGAACACATGTCGAAATTACCCCATTGGAGGGAGAGGGACAAGATTAAGGCTTACTGTGAAAAACTTGGCTTTTATTATACTATTTTAGATGCGGGTTTTTGCGTTTTTGATTGCGTTTTAATAGGGTACGTCAAGAGAATGTACACTAAGAAGAAATTTTTCGAAAAATTTCCCCCCAGGGGGGAAGTGTTATACATTTATAATAGATACATTTTTAGCCACAACAAGGCGTGGCGGGGTCTGCTAGTTGTTAGATAATGGTGATGTTAGAATGTGCTAAACCTTGCCAAAAATTACCACATGAAAAGAGATAAAGATAAACAATTCGAGATTGAATGTATTCAATTTTAATAGATATTATTATTTTAAAACACTTTTTTACGATAAAATAAATAAATGAAAATGTTTTATTATTAATTAATGTGGTCATTTTTGGAGGTTACAGAACAGAACCTAATTTAGATAAGGTATTTGGGGAAAGTAACATTCAGTATGAAGTATAATTTATTCAGAATTTAATTCGAAATGATAAGATTAGTCATGTAAATAGCATAACATATTGGCAGAAAATCTGTATGACTAAATACTATTGAGGACCCCTTGTTTAGCAGTGTAGTGAACCTTTGAATGAACTCATGTGTGGTTTAACCAACAATTATTTGGAACTTTGACCAATTGTTTCTTCATCTTGTTAATGAATCCCTGGCTTGATTTTGCATACCACCATTAGCATAAACCAGTCCTTTATGTCAGGTCAAAACTGTTCAATTATATGAAATTAAAGTTTATTTGGCTGATCGTTTGGCTTTGCTTGCTTGTGACATACAAAAAATGTAGACTTTGTTGTTTGGGTAGTTCGTTTGAATATAAGGAACCACTCTCTTCTCAATGCACTTGGTTATATTAATATTTGTCCTGGCTTATGGCTCCTTTTGATTCCACAAATGGTTATTTTGACCTGACTGTAAGACAGGTTGGCAACTTTTTCCAAATTTTGCAATCTTTTCTTGTCATTGGGGATTTCTCCCTTTTTTAAAAAGAAAATTGTAGGATGAGAAGGCAGAATCCAATTACTATTATTATTATAGTATATCTACCATTATTAATTTTTTAACCCTAAACCACCCACACTTGGGAATCACTGTACTAAATAATAAAAAAATAAATGTTGTTTTTCATTATCATTTACTGTATATTACTGGTATCATTTCATTACTTGTGCTTAATTAAATCCAGTTTCAAGTATTGCATAGTAATTCTTATTGTCCATGATTACATTGAGTGTGAAAGGAGCATTTTCAGTGTCTTTGAAGAGAATGACCAACTGCTACTAATGCCTCCATTCTTGATCTGGGTTCATTTCTGATGCAGACTTTGCCTTCTCACCAGATATCTCATGTCAAGCACTATTCTTTTCATAGTTTGTCTGCTACTCCATATCTTTTGGTCAATGATTTGAAACTGAGACCAACTTTGATATTGAGAGTTTGCTTTAGGCTGTGCTTATCTTTGTTGTCCAATTGCACTTTTGGTGCCCTAAACTCAGCTTTCTACTAACATCACAACTTTTTTTCTTGTCTTTTCAGGATCTTGTAAACTCACCTCTGCTTGAAACCATCGGTCACAAAATGATTAATGATGTCAGATTTTTTATATCTAGATGAAATTCACAAAAAAGGTTTACTTTTTACCAACTGTTTTTCTATTTATCTCCAATCACTGTAATAATTCTGAAGAAGATGACTACATATTTAATATCAATTGAAAGCAGATGAATTCCATGTTCTAATCTACAAATTCATTCTACTCTTGCACTTCATCATGATACAAAAATGCATTAAAAATTACACACATTTTTTCTGAACAACATACATTTGAATTGGAAAACACCTTTTTATTTTTTTGCATAAGGTTTTTCTCTACAGGTTCTTCAGAATGCATATATTACACAAAAAGAGACCTCACTGTATATAAAAATATTATTTTTTCTAGAATTAATTACCAATTAAGTGTTTTTTGTTATTGTTTCATTGTTTTATAGAAATTATTTAAGGCTGTTTATAGTTCCAACAGCAGCATAGAGTTTCAAGGTTGTCAGCTGCTGCTGGAGTTCACAAGAATATCATCCAGTTTATAGTCAAACTCTGGCTAATGATTAACTCAGCACAGCATAGCATTGGCATCAAATTGCAAAGTTGGAGTCACTAGACAGAAGCATGCCTCTATAGTTTGACATCTAGCAGAGCAGAGAACAGCAAATGTAGCAGAACTCTGCTATTGCAGTCATGCTGCTGTTGGATTGTAAACTGACTCTTACACTTGTTAAAGCTGTTTAATACTTTACAATACTTTTACATATTCAATAACTATCAAAACATAATTTACATCAATCTTAATTTAAAAAAAGTTTATCTTTAATTTAGATTTAACAATACAGTACAATTAACACTATCCAATAACAGTTATTTTGATTAAAGATAACTTTGTTTTAATAAGCTAATAATTTTTCACATATTTTAAGAAATGAGCTAATTTAATCTTTTTACATTACAAATAAGTATTTAAGAAGTTAAAGTATTAGAAAATTTTTTAATACAACTGAATCAAACTAATTTTTGTTATTGTTAATGTTTTGAACTAAATTTATAAGAATTACACCTCAATTTAATAATTTTAATCTTATAGAAATATAAAACATTTTCTTAATAAGCATATTACCTTGTAACAAATTTATTGTGCAAATTTTCAAGTTTTTTCTCTAATAAAGTTTGTTGTTCTTTCCAAAGATTTTCAACAACAGTTTCTTTATTAGAAGAATTTTGAATGCTTTTCTGAAAATGTAAAAATATAATTTAAGATAATTTTGCATTTCATAAATAATACATGAAATAGTTTTAATGATAATTTATTTTTATTAAATACACAGTATTAATCATAAGAGATTATAAAATGCTAAAGAATGTTTTAATTAATATTATACAATTCCAGATCAGACATGCAAACATACTTTTTTAGCACAAATTTTCAAAAATTTGACAACAGGGGAAAGAAATAAAATTGCAATAAAATCTCAAACTCAAAAATAAAATATCCTGAGAATATTATAAGTTTTTCTAAAAATTTTTTATTTTATTAAGTTATCTAAAACTTAGATTTCTTTCAATGTTATCTAACACAAAAGTATCTAAGGTTTTTGCACAAACAAATAATTGGTTATGCACTTTATACATACTACATGTAAAGTTAGATGTGTACAGTTACCTATTTTTTCATCTCTCATAGTTTTCAGTTTTTACATAGAATTGATGTTATTGTGTACAGCAATATTTCTATAGCTTTCAGTTATAGTTTCTTACATTTTCAACTTGAAAAGGTTTTATTTTGTATTTAATTTTTAATTTGAAATTACCACTAGTCATATATTTGTTTGATATAACTTTCAGAAATATTATTCTACAAAAAATGTATGAGTGATATGTTTATAAGACTAGTACAAAAAATGTACTAGTCTTGTGTAAACAAAGACATACATAATGTCTATGTTTACACAAGATTTTGACCATTTCTACTGGACTAGTAGCCTGGGACGCCCCCTAGTGGGCGTTATTTACAAATTTCCATGAGGCACGGTTCCTTTGACTTTTTTGTTCCTATCAATATGCTGTACAGCTCTGTTAAAGTCCCAATGCTAAGATTTACCCTCCGAATGAAGAGGTGGTGACCTCCCCAAACTGTAGCCCCTGTGTGAACAATAAAGTCAAAGGAACCATACCCCTACTCGCGACCCTTCGAGAGATATAAGCCCCTGAAATAATAAATTCCTATTACAAATATACTGAATTATTTATATTGTTATATTGACCAAATAATAATTTATGGGCCAAATGAATAATAATAATTAAAATTGTTAATTTGAATGTTTGAAATATGACACACGATAGGGGTGCCTCTAGTGTCCGTTATCAAACGGTTATGCGGACAGACACCTGTTGAATGGGTTATATATATAGATTATATTCATTTATATTGTTATAAATGTTTAAAACAAAATTAAATGTTCATGGTAATGATTACAATGTGTTTTTCTTTTATATGAAATAAAGATTTATTTTATATCAATGCTATATTTTCAAATAAATGTAAGAGATATTTGTCAAACAAAGCATGCAGATATTTTTTGTTTTTAGTTTCAAATTTTTCTTTTCTTCAATAAAATTTAGCAGAAGACAATGGCATTATTATAAAAAATCTAATACTATGTCTTCATTTCTTATAGAAATGAATTATAAAACAATTTTCACACTTATACTAAAATTAAAAAAATATTAGAAAAATAATTTATAATTAATACTTAAAAGTTATATTTAATTATTAAATTGTTTTCAGTATTGAATTGGGTGGGTCTCAATATTCTCAAAAATATCTTTTTTGTATTCATGCAATGAGTTAGTCTTTTCTAGAGAGTGGAAATGTATGATTGCTGTAATTTGTAGAAAAACATTGAAAAGCTACTTTTTGTAACAATAAAAATATTTTTCATGTCTCTAGCCAGTAAGTAGTTTAAATTTATTTTGCTATATTTGTAAAATTGATCACTTAGCCACCTTCATATGGTTTAAGTGTTTGCCAGGACACATAAATAGCCAGACAATGTGATGACATGCATTTACTCCAGTTGTGATACATGATGCTTTTCACATCAGAAGTATAGATCCATATGCTTTGCAAATGCCCTGCTACTCATCCAACTGACATTCAATACATAATTTTCTTGTGTCTGAAATATAAAGCAGAAAGAAGGCTTCTGGCAGGCACCCTGGCTGACGTTGGCTTTCTCTGGCCTTGCCAGATGAAAGATTTCCTTACCAATCATAGGAATCTCCAGGCTTTTCAAACCTTCATCAGGGCAACAGACATCTTAAAGTCCGATAGGTAACTGACCCTCGTGGTAACAATCAACTCGGGCTTGGCATCTGTGAAAGTCTGCTCTGGGACTATGTGTCTCTGGCTGCCCCTAATATTGTCTGTACCTCACAGCATTGCAGGGTAGTTGTACACAGGCATAAATTGTGGCACCGTTCTTTGTTTTAAGATGTTTGGTGTCTTAACCACCCTTTGGTCATGCACCACCGGACCTGAAGGAACAATGTCATTGTCCCTGGTCCCTTCACAGGAGAATTTGTCGCTCACGTTTTTGTACCCTCCAAGGTCATGGAGGTTCTCTCCCCCTTGATAGGGGATGTACTGTACATATGCATTTGTTTGTGCAATGAGTAAATCTAGGGGGGGGTGCTGGAGGCAGGGTATTGAATGGTGACTAAAGGCAAAATTGGGGTCACTGAAAGCCATTCCCTTTCCTCTGTTAAACTGATAAGAGGAAACATTGCGTTTAATGGTTTCCAGATGTTGAGAACAATGTATGGTAAGGGCACAGCACAAAGTGTAAGATTCATAGAAAAGTTTTCCTAAGAATATTTCCAATCCTTTCTCACACAAGAGAAAATGGGTTAGGGGCGCTGGGTATAACTATATGGAACAAAGGGGGCGGTGGATCGAAAAAGTTTGGGAATTACTGTTCTAATCCTTTAGTAAATGTAAATGACATTCAATGCCTGGGTTTATCCATCTAGGCAAGCCTCCAGATCATGTAAAAGTTGCCTTATTACTGTTTCATTTATTCAATAATCTGATGAGGGCTTGTATATGAAAACATGTAATGAAGTTTAAATAAATGTTTCTGATGCTGTTGTGAGTATTTTCATGAGATGAAAATACAAGAAATCATTAATTTTGGATATTCTTTATACCTTGTTAATAGTTATCAATTTGTATTATTTTGTACAGTTTTAAAACTCTTTTAAATTTTTGAATAAAAAAAAAAGTGAGAAATAATTGTTTTTCTTCAACATATTACATCTAGAAATAATCTGAAGATAAATTTAAATAATATCATCTAGTTAGAAACACTGTAATTGTAAATAATATAATCTTTATGATAATTAAAATTTTTTATTTTAACTTCATTCTATTTTTTCAAAAGTTAAATTATAATTGTATGAAATAAAACTAAGTTAACATTGATTTGTCTTTCTCTTGTGTAATATATTTTTACAAAAGGAACATTATAAAAGTTTTGTTTACTAACCTGTTCTTTCCACCACTGCTGAAAATTTTTATTATATGAGTTGAATAAATCTTGTCTTGTTTCATTTAATATTTCCATAAAGTGTTGTTTCACATTCTGCAGTTCTTTTTTTGTATACAACAATTCTGACTTAACAGTTGCATAATCAGCCATGGACTGAATTTTCTCTGACAAATGATGATTCTGTATAATTAAATTGTTTAAATTTAATAAAGTTTAGTTAAAAATCTTATAAAACATTTACATAAACAGTTACTAATTTTAAAATCATTTTAATTTTCAGCTAATTAAGAAACAAAATTCCCTAAAAATCTGAAAATTTGATTTTTGAATTTCATAAAATTTTTCACAACTGAATTAATATTTACATGACTTATTTCAAACCATGACATTTGAAAACAGATTTTCATAATTTAAAAAGTATAATAAATATTTTTTATCTAACAATAGATTTCTTTAAGTAAATAGTTCAGTACAAAAATAATTATCTATATATATATAAAAATAGACATGTTTGTGCCTATATTTCACTCTGCAGCCAAAACTACACATTGCACATGAATGGTGTTTGTGTGTGGTAGTAGCCAGAAGTCTCCCATCCTGCACTATGGTGGTTGCGTCTTGATAACTATAAGGGTGTGAAAGATATGGGGTTTGAAAGTGGTTGACTTCGAAAATGTGTGACGCTTCAATGAGAATGTTCCAGTTTTTTCTAGAAAGTTCCAGAATCTACAGGTAAAATTTGATACACAGTTAGGGTACATCATGAAAACACACACAAAGAAGGGATTTTTCGAAATTCCTCTGCGGGGGCGAGGGGGAGAGCATTAAGGCTTAACCTGAAGAACGGCTTCTACTGAACTATTTTAGATGCAATTTTTTTGTTTTTAATTACATTTAGTCTTCATTGAGTACTTAGGGGTATAAATTGACAACATTTCAGACATTGTGATAAATAGTTTTTATATATTTCAATTTTTTAACCAAATGTTCGAACCGTTTTAAATTCGAATTTCTTTTTGCATATTGGTTCAATTATAGAACGATTGCAAACATTCCAGAAAATTTATCGAATTAAAAACAGTTCGTTTGATTCTCAGCAATTATCATCATTCTCAGTGGTAGGTGTTAAATAACAATTACTATGGTTGTTGAAATATTGCATGTAAATAGGATTTGCTTGAAAAATCTGCACGAGTGAAGCCGCAGGTAACAGCTAGTTTCATATAGTGGTTACCATAATAAATAATTTGTCTGTTTTAAAAATTACACATTGTAAGGAACTGAGTCTGAGCTGTATTATTATTTAATTTTTATTTTGTTTTTTTATTCTGTTTTTGTTTGTGGTTTATGTTTAGTTAGGACAAAGGTTCCCTCACCACTCACCTTAGTAACGAAAAAAGAAACAAAAAGAGATGAAGGAAAAAACCAACTCACTGACTAGACAAAGCACTGTAGGGAAACTAACGCACACTTGCACTCACAGGTGGAAGTTGAAAGAAGTTCCGCAGAAAGAAGGGGGAACACCCCACATGCACAAAGTAGAGAACTCGCTATACCTTGATAAAATAAACATCCCAAATATGTAATAAAAAAGAATAATGTAAAAGAATTTAGCGAGAAATGTCGGAAACTAGGCTGCACAGGAAAAGACATGCAAATTTATTGTTAGAAGTTAATATGTAAATGTGGAGAGTGATTCCAGACATAATTGTGACGTCACATCAGAGTATAAAATGAGCATGTCCAGAGAAGACAAGCGAGGTGAGCCCCAACCAGGGATAGAGTGAGGTGAATTCCAGAGCGAGATTGGAAGCAAGTCTTGAGGATAGCAATAGGAATGGTTCAAAGGAAAAGTGGATAAAAGAAAAGGTTCCTAGTATTGAGGTGATGGATAGAATCGTAGTTCATAAGATTCCTTGTACATAGTTTAATTGATTGATATTGTTGAGTTCCAAGGGGAAATAGTTCATAAGTTATAGTAAGTAAATTGTATTATTTTTGTTGGATTTTTCGAATTGTTTCTTTTCAGTGAATAAATTGTTTTGATTCTTACTAATTTGTACATAGTGAATAATGAGTTAACATTAAATATTTAAGTTCCTTACTGACCCATGTACATAGTGATTTCCAGAGCATGCGTAAACCCAGGCCTGGCATACTAACCGCAAACCCAAGTACCTGTTAGGTTAACGGTTGTAAAGTTCGGCGATAGTCCTGAACGCCTTACTGGAACATAGTTCCGTGTCATATAAAAAACTCAAATAGTACTTTACAACATTAGTAGACTTATTTTCAAAGTATGAGAGAGAAAAACTCACTCTAAACTCTGTCTCATTTAAGTGAATTACAATGTTCTCACAGAAATAAGTGATGTTTAAGTTTATGTTTTCATTCAATTAGTAAAAAAAAATAATTTATCAAGTATGATTCTAATGAGGAACAATCTTTAAAGTTTTAATATGATCTGAAATCATTAATATTGTCTTATAAAGTATTATATAAAGGCCTAACCCATTAACAACTAAATTCATTCATAAAACCACTGTAACATCAGCACCATAGGCTAAAGTTGTTCAGGATTCACTGAAAGAACTTCACCTATGGATGAAGAACATGATAACCAAAGCATTTTTAGTGACAGCTGTGATATTTCAATCATGTGCAAATGTAGGTATTTATTGTAAGAAAGTGACAGCTAATAAAATTTTATGTATAATTCACTTTACATATTCTGCCCAATTTTTATGTTTATTAACGCTTTACATTTTTTGTTTTTCAAATAAAATTTATGTTCCTATAATTCATTTTTATTTATATGCAAAGTATATGAAATAAAATTTGATAACATGAAAAAAAAAACATCATTCTAACAAGATTTTTCATATGGATTATTTCATTATTTTCGTTGATTTCTTAAGTCCATAACCAATTTTCCATATATACAATGTATTTTTTACATGATGCTTGTTTACACTTAATTTCTGGGAACCAATCTATCGTGTAAAATCAGAATTAGGTGTATATATCTACAATAATCATCTATAGATATACCAATATGAATTATTTTGATTCCTAATATTGCATTTTTAAATTATTGAAACATTTGAATAATATATATATATAAAATAAATTTTAATGCTATTATCAAATGAAATTGATAATATGGTACATGAATAAAATTATATTTAAAAATAACTGCTTAATATTTTAAATTTAATAATGAAAATTATCTCTAAACAACAATCAACAGGAAAAATTAATTCAACCATCAATCTGAAAAATAATCTGAAACAATCATTAATAACTGTAACTACAGACAATATTTCTATAAACTTTGACAAGTGAAAAATACCTTGGTTCAGCAACTGATAACAAGTTTCAAATATTGCAATAGAAGAAATGCTTTAAAGAACTTTTTCTCCACTGTAAATTATTTATTTCCTTACTAGAATTACATATCAAAGATAAAGGGCAACCAATAGAGAATTAAAATCAAAAGTAAGTATTAGATATGATAAAGCAAAATAATTCCAATTTCTTTTATTTTCATAAATTTAAGTTTTTTTTTGTAATCATTAATGACTTCTTATCTCTCATCATCTTATCATTACATATCCTTAAATACAGTTATATCTATTTTCTTATACAATAATTTCTAAAAAGAAGTAAACTGAAAAATAATCCATCTAATTCATATTTCATTGTCATTTTAGTTAATCTACATTAATAATAAAGAGATGAAATTTTGAAATGGTGTTTTTACTTACTTGTTTTAAAACAACATGATATTTTTCTTCTAGAGATTTCAAAGATAATTCAAGATCAAAAAACTTTGGTTTAAGTTCCTCAAATTCATTCATAATTTTGTTTACTTGAATCTTTTCTTCTTTTAACCTAAACAAAAGTTTATAATGATAAGACAAATTATTTTAATTAAAATTAAAACATTCAAATAGAAAATAATATGAGATACAATTAAATTTTAATATCTAAGTATTAACTAGTATAATAAAAAATGTTATTAAATGAATATAAATTTACATTACAATAGTTATGATTGTATTTATTATTTCAGTTATTAATCTGTTCAATTGCAATTTCATACATTTGTTATAAATATGAAAACTATATCAAGAATTTGTTTCTATTTTCATTTCTAATTGAATTAAAATCTATGTAGCATTGAAATATAGATATAATATAATATAGATGAGTAAACTATATATAACTAACTATATCTTTAATAGTAAGGAAAAACTATGTTTATATAAACTCATTCAAATAAATAATACAAATGTAAGAAATTAAGGCTTAATCTAAAAATGTTATTTTCAATTTTCAACTTAAAAAAAAAATGAAATGTAAATAAAATAACAAATTATTTTAGCAATTCTGAAGTGATCTTAATATTTAAGAATTCTAGAATAATTTAATTCATTTTTGTTTCATTAAATTAAGTTTGCAAAAAATTAATTTTAAATTAAAATTAATTTTTTTTATAAATAACTTTTTATTAATAATATTTAATGGTAATTTTATTTTGTAATTAGATCAAAGTCTAAAAAATGTATATAAACTGATACTATTTAAAATATTATTATGCAAAACACTAAAAAAATAAATTTAAAGCCTGAACTAGCAGTAATATTGCTCATTTTTACACAAATGTCAATGTATATTAAATTGTTTCTATTATTATTTTCATAACAAATAAACAAGTATTCATATTTGCAAATGATCAATGAATTTAATTGGGGATGGATGTCTTTTGTCAGCTGACAGTTCCTAATTATGTATAAAATGACTAAATAAATAAAAAATAAATAAAAGTTACTTAAAATTATATATATATATATATATATACATATAGACAAACCTTTTACTATCATCGTGAATTTTTATTTCCAAGTCTTTTAGTTTCTCATATTTTTTCTCAATATTTCTTGATTTTTCAGATATATCTAAGTTTTCATCATCTCTAGAAGTTATCTGCAAAAGTCGTTTTTCTATTTCATATTCCTTAACCTGAAAAAATAAACAGGAATAAATTTTCATCGAGCCATATTTTTTTTTATTTAAATGTAGTATAAGTTTCAATTTCATAAAAATTAATTTTGTAAAAATGCTTATATGTGATGTAATCAAAATACATTGAGAATGATGGCATAATTATGAGACCTAACAACATAGCTTGAAGCCGACTAGATACAAAGTTACCTTGAAAATGTTCTTTGCATGAACTTTGAGTCAAATCTTCCCTGCTCACTTAAATTTTTTATAGCTGTTCTTTGTTCCTTCTTATATCAATGCTGTGTATTGTATTATTTACAACAGAAAAAAATTGTGCAATAAATTTACATTAGATTTTATCAAAAAATTGGCAAATCATATGAAGAAACATAGAAGAAATTGAAAAAGGTCTATGAAAACGCCTGAAACACCTAGATTCCTTACAGGCAAAAATACCAACTTTTCCAAATCTAAAAAAAGCAAGACAGAGAGATGAAGCAATATGAAGATGAATATGATAATAGTTTTCCAAATGTAAAAGAATTATGCATTATGAATAAGTTCCAGCAGCATATACATTCAACAAAGAGTATTACTGTCATGTTTTGTGGTTGTTAAGAAAATTCATTGCAAAAAGCCAGCATTGCACAGGACCAATGACTGATAACTTTACCAAGACAATGCACCTGCCCAAAAATCACAAGTTCAACAATTCAACTAGTCTAGTAATCATCATTTTCCTGAGACCTAGCCCCCCCATGACTTTCTTTTCTCTAAAATCAAACACCAATTAAAAGAAAAAACTTCAGGCTATTCAGGAGATACAACAGAATAAAATTTCTATTTCTCACTATTTCTGAACAAAACATGCTCCAGAAATGAAAATAGGCTGTGCATGTTGATTCAGAATAGTACTATTTCAAAGGACTTTAAGTTGGCAATTTGATATTCTTGTGAGTTTTTGTGTAAGAATGATACTTTTTTATCACGCCATATATCTTAATAATATATTTTATAATGCTTATTGCTTTAATGAATACATTTTTATTTATGAATAGCCTTTTACATTTCATTATATAATTAACTTTTTTATTTTTGTTAAATTTGTTAACTTCAATTATAATTTAATTAGTTTTATACATATTCTCTTGTATTGAAATCAAGTTTTATATATTTACAATTCTTATTTCAGTTTGGTTTTATTATTTTAAAATAATTTATGTATATTTTTATTTTGATATACATTTTAAAAAAACCTGAAAATACAGCCAAATTGCTTAGTATTTTATTCTTTAAATAGACTGTGTTAATAAAAATAATTCTCCAAATATTTCATTCAGTGAACAGCTTTTTAAATGATACTCTGTATATTTAAGAAATGTACTCGGGAGGAGGAGGAAGAGGGGGAAAAAAAAAAAAAAAAGGAAAATGTTAGAATTAAAATTAACAGTTAACAAAACACTGTAAATCAACTTTTATATCTTTCAACTTGCAAATTAAATTTTACATTGTTAAAGTTTTCTAATACACAAATTGAAATTATTTCTAAAATTAAATGAGATAAAACTATAAATATATTTCATTTTATTTCATTCAATTTTATGATTTTATTCAGAAAAATGAATTTTGTTTATACATTTATGTTGAAAGTGCAGTTTAAAAAACAAAAACATTGAAAATATAAAATTTAAACAGTTTAATAAATGCTCATAAGGGATGAGAACATTATGTTGCATCATCATAAAAGTTAAGCAACAATAAATGTACATATATACATGAGATTAATAAATAAAGTTTGAAAGAAAAATTATTTCAATATCATAAAGATATAAATAATTAATATTAATGTATCAACAATTTCACTGATAGATATAACCATGCACAAATCTATATATATATATATATATTATATATATAGATTTGTGATCCTTTTTGGACAGTTTTGTCTTCAATTTTATTTTATTAGAAATAATTCTCCATCGGATGAACTTTTACAGAAGAAATTTCTACATATATTGTCACCAGGGGGCAACTTCTCTAAACATCTACATTTTCGAGCGCTAATCTTTAGTAGATAAAAAGAAGAAGAAACCCCAAAAGAAGGTATGATGGAAGTAAGCAAGACAACTGTATGTCACCAGTTCCTTTTTCAGAAATTTTTTAAAATTTTAATTGGATGTGTTTTGTGTTTTTTAAAAGGACTTTTTGTAAACTTTACGGTGACAAGTAGCCTAAAAAGGAAGGTCAGTCGCTGAAAATGTTTTAGTCTTGGAACACAAGTAATAAATGGTGATCCTTTTTGGACAGTTTTGTCTTCAATTTTATTTTATTAGAAATAATTCTTGATCGGACGAACTTTTACAGGAGAAATAAATAACACAAAATAAATTGTAGCTATGTGTCGATTCCGCATGACATGTCCGAACATGTAAGCTGAACAATAGTGCGGGGAGTAATCAAGAGTTGCATGGCGCTCAAACAAAAGAGGAATCGGAGAGATTTGAAAATTGCGTAACTCCAGGTAGCATAAGTCAAGGTATTACTGTAATCGTATAATAGCATTCTGTAAATGTTATTTTATAGTAAGTGATGATGAGGTTAACTGATTAGGAAAAAATAACTCAGAGGCATGTTAACTGAAAAAGAAAAATCTATCTGATAAGGAGACCTCATAAGGTCTCCATGTCAGATAAAAAATACACATTTAATACAAAAAAAATACACATTTTTACTAGTAGATAAATAGATAAAATGTATAAGCTTGCGTGATTTTTGATTATTTAATTTATGTAAAAATTTCACATTTATTTGTAAAAAAAAAAATTCCATCAGCATGATTCAACCCCACAACCTCAAGAATGTTAAAGAGAAATGAAAATGCTGAACAACAAAATGTTTAATAAACATAGCTGGTAAAACTCGCTTATAAATCATTGGGATGTTTTAATGTCAATTTTCTCAAAAACACTTGAAAAGTGCGCTTTCTCCTTTTGCTTAATAAAGGTTCATATCAAGACTTATCCCACATACATTAGTCGGATCCATGACAGACATCTCATAAGGTCTCCTTGTGAGCCAATTTGTTGATAGTCTGTATTGAGTGAAGTCATTATTAAACTATTTATCTAAACTTTCCACGAGAAAAGAAAAGTTTAATTTTAAAATAATTAAAACTATAATTATATTCATATTATTATGAACGATGCTTGAACATACAAAGATTAGAGAAGCAACAGTGTGAACAGTGCTTGGTGTCATCTGTATTATATGCCTCCAGGATAAAGTTTCAGCATCCAAGATCATAACAAAACCATTGACTTGCATTACGTGCTCGTTCAATAGGATATCATGAAACATTAACTTGCACTTTATTATTGTTTTAAAATGAACTTTACAAGGATCCCAATTAGCTAATAAAAAGAAAAATCGAATAATTAAATTTTTTGAAAATAATTTTTACAACAAATATTAAAAATTTATTAAACTTTTTATAAGTTTTATTGATAGCTTGCATACGTACGGCATTTTGCAATTCCTATAACTCTTCCTTCCTGATCAGTCTGCTGAAGATATCCAATCATTTTCATATCCAAATATTCTTTTACAGCCAAAGGATTAAAATCTGTAAACATACTCGGATTTCTTTCTCTTGATGAATAGTAATTTCTTAATAATTTAACAGCTCTTTCTCTATCAAATTTCCTAGCTCTCAGGAAGCTCAAGAGGAACATGTCGTCCATACGGCAATTTATTTTCTCTTCTGCAAAATTTTTAAATTATAATTTTATTACGTATATATACTGCATGCTTTGTTGTAATTTGATTAAAATCATAACATATTATATATAAAAAATATAATAATGTTTTAATCTCTTCTTCAATTGGGCCTCATACCAAGCGTGGATTCATTCATGAAAGATGTTCTTAGAGTGAATCTATGAATTGTAACTGCTGATTTCTTGAAGAAAAATTCACAAAAAAACACATCAAACAATGATTAAAGTTTATTTTAAAATTTGTAAGACAATTATATAGTGACAGTTGTGTGAATAGATCTAAAGGTATCATCCTGCTGCTCTGGATAATTCAGATTCTAATCCACTCCAGATTGTCAAAACTGTGCTTTGAATCGGATATATTGTGCACTGCTTCTTATCTGATCATCCTATTGTGGCTCTGATAAAACTGACGATGTGCAAGGGAAAAATTCCTATTAGAGTAAGTGCAAACTTTGTGGGCAGGAAGACGAAGAGGATGAGTTGCATGGGACAAAATTCGTCTTACTTTTTCCAGGATGCGACATTCCCGCCCCTTAAATCGTAAAGATCACTAAGCAAGATCTCCAGCTGTCGAAACCACCCGCATTCTACCTTATTAACAGAAATAGAGTTTTCTTTTTTGAGGAGGAACATTACCGTTTGTGTCACGATTTCTTTTACCATTCCATATTTCACTTCACTTTTTCTATCCAAGTTATGAAGAATTGTAAAATTTACAGTGTTTTCATCTAATAATCGGCAACTTACGACCACTAATTCTTTATGGAGAACGTTATTTAAAAGTATAAACTTGTAACGATTTCTTGACAAATGATATATTTGATAACTAACTTTCTTACTGTAATCCTCGAACACATAGAGGAAACTGCTGATTTTGTATCTTTGTAATAACAATTGTTAATCTATTCCTTTATGTAATTTATTAAATAATAAATATAATTATAGAAAACTCCGATTGTATGAGCTACTGTTCAGAACAATAAAAGTTCTTTTACTGCTACTAGCGACATGACTAAGGTTGGTGTCACCCAGTGCTGTAACTCATGATGAAGAGGTTGACGACCTCGTTGTATGACTGAGAAAGACTTTGTGTTTTCTTAGCGACTAATTCGTATGCGAATCCCCCCTTAAGAAGAAGCGTGCATCTGTATAGGTGAAGAATGGAGAAGACACCCACCTCTTGTACAGAGGGCATGGTCTCGAAAAGCCGTGTTTCCGAGGCACCTAGTTTGCATA